TGTCCTGTATGTAATAAATTTGTTTTACCCGATGATATTGAATGCCATTTGGTTATGTGCCTGACAAAACCTCGACTCTCATATAATGGTAAGTATATATAAAATGAACTTAGGACTTTGTAACAAGTATAAAATACTATTTTTCCGAATTACAGAGGATGTTTTATCAGATGCCAAGGGAGAATGTGTTATTTGTTTAGAAGATTTAAATCCTGGTGATATTATAGCACGCTTGCCATGTCTTTGTATTTATCATAAATGGTAAGTTTGTTTTCTTCATTTTTGTATATATTTTTTTTTTTAATAACAATAAATTAATTATAACTTAAAGCTGTATTGATCGATGGTTTGAGGTAAATCGCTCATGTCCAGAGCATCCTGGTGACTAGTTAAAACTCAATATGTAATTATTAAATAAACTTTTCTATTTTAGTATAAATAATTCTATATATATACAAACAAACAAATATTCATAAACAAACAAACAACAAACAACAAAAAATATATAAATACCGTAAAAATTGATAAACGATTAAATTAGTTTTTAGATTTTACAAGATAAACAAGAAAAAAAATACAAAATAATTGAAAAAAATTAATAAAAAAGAAAAATTATAAACAATTGAACAACAAACACTTTTTAAGAAATGACTAGAAAAAATTACAAAAATATATTTAAAATATTAAAAAATAACAATAATTAAGAGAATCTTACCAAAAATCAATGATAAGTTTTAAATCAATAATTAAAAAAAAATAAATAATTTTGATTTAATTTAATTAAATTAAAAACAAAAATACATAAATAGAAATTTAACTTAAAACGGTTTATATATATAAGGATATATTAAATAAAAAATACATTTAAAATACAAAAAAAAAAAAAAACAAAATAATGTGCTGCAATAGTAATTTAAAATAAATTCTTTTTGAAATAACGATAATGATAATATGATGAGGATGGTAATTTTATATAGTTTACATATATTTAAAAATAATAATAATAATGTTAATGATAAAACAAATTAATGAAAATTCTACCAAAATTAAGTATATATACATACATACTATACATACATCTCTATATATATAATATACAACATAAATAATAATAATTTGATTAATTAATATGAACAGATAACTAAACAACCGAAAATATATATTTAACATAAAAATATTAATAATAATAATGTTTAAAAGTACTATTATAATTTGATAGTAATGAAAAAAAAGAAAACAAAATAATTAAGAGATTAGTTGTTAAAGCATTTTGTACTGTGACATAAAAAATAAGAAAAAAAAACAAAACCAACAAACAAAACCTAAAATATGATGTTGTATGTAATCATGTGTATTTATCTGTATCTGTTTTTATTTCCTTAATTGTGATTTTAATTAAATTAAACAAAAAATTAAATACAAAAAAAAAAAAACAAATCCCAGTGAGTGCATGAATTACCGAAGAAATTGTATAAAACAACCAAACAAACACACACACACAAGCCAACTCATGTTTTCTTTGTTAACAATTTTTATTCTCGATTAATAATGGTTAAGGGAAGAAAAAAAAAATAAGGAACGAAAGAAGGTGTCATATAATGTATTTGTAATTAGTAAATGTGAAAATCAATTATAACAATTTACAACATTTTAACAGTTGCGTTTCTTGTTCTTACTCTTTTTGAAAGTTAGTATTGGTTTATTACAATTAATTAATTGCTTGCTGATTATTAATAGTTTATTTATAACTCTTTCATTTTATACTTTCTGTTTTAATAACCGTGTAGTCAATTAATAAGTTTTACTATAATTATAAGATATTGCTGGCTATTTCTAGTGATTATCTAAAAAGTTATTAGTTTTTGTTCTCAATAAATTGTGTTCTCTTTCTATATATTTTAAATTAGGAGAGATAACTAAATAAAATGAGCAAAACTAATTTTCGAAAGTGGGCCTTACAAGGGAGGCAAATTATAATCTAGTGCCGAATCTGCCTTTGGCTCATTCGTATTAATCTAATCTGAATTCAGATGCTGAAATTTATTTTCTGATTAAACAATAGTCGAATCTTTAGACCAGACTGTAGACTAGAGTAGAGTTCAGATTAGACTATGGAATAGACAATAGTCCACACAATAGATTAGAGTACAGACTATGCTATAATACTGACTATTGACTAGACTGTAGTCTAGACTATAGAATAAAGTCCTTTTAATAATAGACTACACTGTTATTGAAACAGACTATAGACTAGACTCTAGTCAAGACTATAGACTAAAGTCTAGTCTAGTCTTGTTTAGTCTGTACCCTGAACTATAGTCTGGACGATTCCATAGTCTAGTGTGTAGTCCAGACCACTGACTTCTGACAAAACCACTTATTTGAAAAACAGTGATTTTTACAAGACTTGACAAAAAACGTTATCAATTTCGAAATAAGTTGATTTGATCGTTGTCATATCTTTGGATCTAGAAGGTATGGAATTAACCCGATTAGACAGAAATATCCCCCATTATATTATTTTGACAACAAAAATTTGAGGAAATTGTCGTATGTCGAGATAAGGCGTTTTTTCAACCGGCCACATATATAGTTTACTATATCCCAGACTATAGACTAGTCCATAGTCCAGACTACAGTCTATAGTCCATATTACAAATAGAATTTTGTGTCTATATATTATAATCAAAATTTCGGTTAATTGTTGTTGTTTTTATTGAATAAATTTTTTGAATTCCAAACCCTGAACAAATTTTATTAAAATGGAAAACCCTAATATCCCCAATTGTCGAACAGCTGTCTCTTGTTTACAATTTTGTTTTTGTTGCTGGCAAGCAAAACAGTAGTACAAAAAAAATAAAAAAAAACAATGTGTTTATGTTGAGACTGTGCCGGGGGTTATGTTGCCACGAACATTTAAACAATTGAATCATACACTTAAAAACCGGATTCAAGAAATCTATAACAGAAACAGAGGCTTTCAACTTCAACAAAAGCGACGTCTGGCGGCACATGCTCATCGCACCAACTACACCATGGATAAGGTATATTTACGCAACGAACCCGACAGCCAGGAGTTACATATCAGTTTTCGCTATGCCAATCAGGACTTGAAAATTGATCGTGATTTTAATTTTTGTCGTAAAATTGATGAGAAAATCGAGGCTGCTTTAAATCGGATAAAAGGGAATATTGAAAAGGAATTGAATAAGAAAATGAAAAAGGGCAAGAAGAAAACACCTGCCCAGGTGCCGGAACCTATTAATGAGGCTGTTGCTCCCGGTGGTGAGGTAAATTAACATTTTTTGTTACTTTTGTTAACTTTATAAATAATTTTTTGTTGATTTGTTTAGTTAAATATTGAATTTGTTAGATCGAACAATAAATTGGAAGATGTTACTTTTGCTGAAATGCTAAGTGAGACCATGGAAAATTTGCATTTGAAAGTATTGGATCGTACTTTTGAACTGGTTCTTAATCAGCCCTGGGTGGTAAATTTGGTTTTACCCACTTCTATATTGGCCGGATTTACTGTGTATCCTAGCAAGTTGGAAATAAAATTTGCCGAGAAAAGCTTTTGTAAAGGAGAGTGGTATAAGGCCAAAATGGTATAAAAGGAATTGTAGTTTTTGGAGCTATGAAAAGTATAATATTTTTCTTTATTTACAGCCTGAATCCGGAAATATTCAACTTGCTTCTTGGCAGTATTGTGGTGATGGTTTATTTTATACCACTTCCAATGAAGATGTTGACCATTATTTAAAACTTGTATTAACACCTGGTAATGCTGAGGGCATTTTTGGACCTCCCGTAGAGCATATTTGCAAAAATGTGGTACAGGCTGGTCCAGGACCTTGTCCTTTTGAGACTAGACACTGTTTTACCCAAAAACGTTTAACCGGCGACTCTTTGCGTGTGGTTTCATATAATATCTTGGCAGATCTTTACGCAGATAGTGATTATACTAGAACTCATCTATTTCCCTATTGCCCACCGTATGCCCTGAAAATTGACTATCGTAAACAGTTGTTTATTAAAGAAATACTGGGTTACAATAGTGACATTTTGTGTCTGCAAGAAGTAGATATGAAAATCTTTGACTACGATCTAAGGCCAGTGCTTGAGGATGTTCGCCAGGGATTTAAGGGCATTATAGCTCAAAAGGGCACTTGCGGAGAGGGAGTGGCCACTTTCTATCGTGCGGATAAATTTGAGTTGGTAGAATCATTTGCTTTAAATATTGGAGAAAATATAAAGACCTTGGATGTTTTCAATGAATTGTGGCAAAAAATAAAATGTAACGAGAAACTGGTGGAGCGCATTTGTGATCGATCCACTACTTTGCAGTTAAATTTATTAAAAACATCTAATGATCGTTATATTTTGGTGGCCAATACTCATCTCTACTTCCATCCAGATGCGGATCACATACGTCTGCTTCAAATTGGTTTTGCCATGTTATTTGTGGAAGATGTTTATAAGAAAACTATCGCCAAATATAATCTGACCAATGAGACACAATTGTCCATTATATTCTGTGGAGATTTCAATAGTGTACCCGAATGTGGCATTTATCGTTTAATGACACAGGGTTATGTGCCTCAAGACTTTATAGATTGGAGCAGTAGTAAGTTTGTTTTAGCTATAAATTACTATTTTTTAATCAAAACTATTTTTTTTTTTTTAGATACGGAAGAAGCTGTTAAAAATGTCAGCTTAAAACAACCATTTTCTATACAATCTGCTTGTGGTACACCCGAATACACCAATTTTACCCATGCTTTTGCTGCATGTTTGGATTACATTTTCTATCAATCGGATCGTTTTGATGTGGACCAATTTATACCCCTGCCTTCCAATGAAGAGCTAAAAGCTCACATTGCCATACCGTCGGTGGTATTTCCTTCAGATCATGTAGCTTTGGTAGCAGATCTAAAATTTAAAGCAATTAGTTAAATTGTATAAAGAATAAAGAAAATTATTATGGTACAAAATTCGACTTTTACATTTATATTTAAGAGAGGTTTATTTCGTATCGATTTTTCATTTCACAAAAAAGAAAAAACGTTTTATTTTATAAACAAAATTCACAGTTGGTGTGTTTGCCTTCATTTACATTACACTATATATTCATATTTTAACTAGAATTAAATATTCCTTGAACCATGTCGGGAAGGCTATTACTTTCTGTACCACATTTGCAATGTTCTCATGCGCTTGACCTTCTTTTGCAATTGTAAAACACCATACATCAAAGCTTCAGCTGTGGGAGGACAGCCGGGCACATAGATATCTACGGGAATAATACGATCGCAACCACGCACCACAGAGTAGGAGTAATGGTAGTAGCCACCGCCGTTGGCACAACTGCCCATAGAGATAACCCAACGGGGTTCGGGCATTTGATCGTAAACTTTACGCAAAGCGGGGGCCATCTTGTTGGTCAAGGTACCAGCCACAATAATGACATCAGCTTGACGTGGTGAAGCACGGAAGACGACACCATAACGATCCATATCGTAACGTGGAGCAGCGATGTGCATCATTTCGACGGCACAACAGGCCAAACCGAAAGTCAATGGCCAGATGGAACCTTTGCGACCCCAATTCAACAAATCATCCAAACGAGCCAATGTCCATTCGGCCATGCTAGATTGTTTGGTACCGAAAGGACTGTAAGGTTTTCTGGTTACTTTTTCGTTTGGATTAACCACCGGCATGGTCTGTTGTTCACGACGCACCATCAAGGTGTTGAGGGCTGGAGCAAAAGAACCGGTTGTAAGGCTGGTTGGCATGCCCGTAGCCAACAGCTTAGGGGTTTTGTTTACGAGAGCTGAAGCAGCGGAGCGCAGCATGATTCCTGCTAAAAAGAGATTAAAAACACATTTGTTTGGCATTATTTATTTAAAATATGTTGATTGTTTTATTTACTTTGTTTTTAAAACACTAATTTATGGATAAATATACTTTTTTCGGGCAATTTTATTAAAAAATCTATGCACAAACCTTTTTATGTAACTTGCTCCAAAAAACAAAAAATCGAACGTCAAATTTTGACAAACATATGTCATCGTATATGACATTTCAAAAATAAAAATTTGGCAGCACTTTTTTAATAAGAATTTTTTGCTATTGTGAATGATTAAGTTGAATTTTAGCGGTATTTTTAGTTTGTTTTTTCATTGTGTTGAGTATAGTAAAGAAATTTTGTGAAATTTATAAAAATAATTACAAAATCGTTTAAAAAATTATAAGCAATTAATATGTAATGTGTGTGGAATAGTGTCTGTGAAAATATGTGAGATAGCGTAAAATTTGTAGAATCATTGCGATGGAATGGGAAAAGGATCATATATACTTAGTTTGGCTTGGGGTAAGTGTGTTGCAAATAATTTGGTTTGTTTAATAAACAGAAAGTAATTAACCCATTTGAACTGAAAAAAAGAATTTAAAAAATAACGAATACGATAACTTTAGCTTTCACTTGGAAAGGTCTATCATTTACCTGTATCTTCAAGTATATTTCTACGATAGCCCGATTCCGGGTTATACTTAATAGCTACCATATTCCAATACCTACCTGTCTCCCACATGTTCTTCTTGAATACTCGAATTTCTAACATGCAAATGGGAGTTGGTATATTTCCTCCTGTGATATCTCTACCTTTGTATTGAGCGGGCTTATGTGTGGATTAGCACATACATTGGTAATAGCCTCCAAAAAAACCCCTATCAAAGGCGAAATTCAAAGTGCTATATTAAAGGCACTTTTTAATTATACCAATATAGGGTGATATCATATGGCCGGATATGCCCGGATATATTTTCATAATTGTTTTCTCATTGTTCTGTTGATTTAATGAACTGATTTATTATTTTCTAACCAAATAATGCCAGGAAATGTTACTTTTTATTTAAATTATACCACTTTAATAAAATATTTAAATGCTTGAAATTATAGTTTTAGATAGTTATTTGTTTTATGTACGGTATAATTCGTATATAATTAAAATGAACACCACTTTCATTATAAAACGACTGTTAATTTTAATAGAAATTGAGAAAAATTATTAAAAGTTGCACTTCAACTTAATCAACATTTATAGTTTTTCCTATAGACATTTCAGCTAATTAAAGTACCTTTTAATGACAGAATTTAAATGTAAAGATTTATTTTGAAACCACAATTTTTAAAATTTTTCAAAATTTTGTTTTAATAGTTTTTTGTTTTTATACCAATTTAATTAAACTACACGTACGTTTGCAATTTGAATTAAACAAATTTTAAATCTAATTAAATACGAAAAAATTGAAAAAAGAAAAATAAAGTAACAAAAACCTTCTTTTACAATCTAAATTAAATGATTAATATAAAATATATAATTTAAAGTGCAACTGGTATTTAAGGTATACATTTTGTTTAGGGGGGTTTTAAGGGAATTTTTGTTGTTAGATTGTTATGACGGAAAAAAAGAAGAATGAAAGAAAAAAATCTTAACTAAAAATTAAAGACAACTAGAAATAAGCAGCTTTTTCATGTTTCTTCTTCCTCCAGTTTATGTATAAATATATGCATGTTGTTTGTATGTTTATATTTTTTTATAAGAATTGAATTTCTTTTTGGGAACTTATTCAACATCCTTTGTTGTTGACGTAGCATCTACATCACGTTTTCTAATGCCATCAGCATCGATGCCATGACCAGCTAAAGATGAAGTATTGTCTGTTGTAGTTGTCGAAGTATTACCACCAGCAACATTTGTTGTTTTCGCAGCTGTATTGGTGGGAGTGTCATTTGGTTTTGTATCTTTGTCGGTATCATCCTCTTCATCTTCATAGTTGGTTGGTTGTTCACCTTTGCGCAATAGTTTGCCAACTAAATCATATTTTTCTATAAATGGAAAATAAATAATTAAGTTAATATTTAAATTAATAACAATTATTGAATAAAAATTACACACACCTTTAATTTGCATTTCCCATTCGCGTACGGAATCAAGTTCCATTGCGCTCAAATCACTTAGATCATCATATTCGTCTTTATCATTGGGTGCTACACTAAATGTGGCCAAATTACGTGAGGCATCACGTCCAGCAAATGAAGCATAAGGTCCACCTTATAGAACAAAATAAAATAGAAAAATATATATATAATTAAGTTTATGTACTTAGATGGACTTGTTGGAAAATTATTATTTTTAATAGAAGCACTTAAGTTTTAGTTTACAGACTCGACTATAGTCTAATCTATAGTCTTCACTATATTCATGACTCAGTCTATATTCTTGACTGCAGTCAACTCCATGGTATTGACTATAGTTTGTTTATTCAATAGTCTATTCTAGTCTATAGTATAGTCTATAGTACAGTCTATAGTCTAGTATATAGTCTAGTCTTTTCTAGTCTATAGTCTAGTCTCTTCTGCAGTTTATAGTCTAGTCTGTAATTTAAACAAGTCTAGTCTATAGCCTAGTCCATAGTTTCTAGTCTAGTCTATAGTCTAGTTTATAATCTAGTTTATAGTCTAGTTTATAGTCTAGTATATAGCCTAGTCTATATTCTGGTCTATAGTCTAGTCTATAGTCTAGTACATAGTCTAGTCTATAGGCTAGTATGTCGTCCAGTCTATAATCTAATATATAGTCCAGTCTATATTCTTGTCTATAGTCTAGTACATAGTTTATTCTATAGTCTCGTCTATTATAGTTAAGTCTATAGTCAAGTCTTTAATCTTAATTATAATCTAGTCTTTAATCTTGACTTTATAGTCTTGATAATAGCCTAATCTTTACTTTAAAAAGTAATATAAAATTGTGCTAATTAGTTGTCCAACATTGTACTATTAAAATTTACGACTAATACATATATTTGTGTATATTATACTGGAACGTTGATGCAATATTTTTGTGTAAATACAAGAAAAAAAGACGCAGTATTGCAAAATTTCAGCAAATGAATTGTAAAATTAAAATTTCTTAAACATTTATTTGTACATTAATTTTTTTTTTGATAACCACAAAAAACAATGACTCTACTATCCTCTATATGTATATTCGCCTGCTCATCATAATTCATCTAAAAAATATATTTTTGAATTAATAACAAACAATTGCTGATTTATAATAAATAGTATTCCTTCTTAAAAGCATGATTTGACACATTAAAAAATGCTACAAAAAAAATGTATTGTTTATCAAACAAGGTATTGTTTTCAGACAAAAGAGGGCACTAGGCGGTAATTTATTTTGTTGATAAGATTTCATTTTCGTTATTTTAATTTAATAATTTAGATAGACTATTACTTGATTGTTTATTTTGGTTTTTAATCTAGTATTATTACATGATATTTTAATTTGAACGTTTAGCAACGCATTGGAAGAATGACTAGTAAAAGGTAGACAAAAATATTTGTGTATTTGTAGTTTAGTTAATTTAATGATGAGTGAGTGCGTCATTAAATCTAAAACACATAGAATAATTTCATCAACAAGTTCGACTATTGAGTAGCAAGCACACACAAATGCATTGCTAAAATTTTATATATAAATTTATTTGTTTTTGTTTTTAACAGCCATTTGTATTCTAATTGAGAAAAATATATGTATATATATTAATGATTAAATAAACAATATGTATAGTATTTTAATTAGAAAAATATATAAACAATTTCAAAATGTGTTTTTAACAAAAGAAACTTTTTAACATTATTTGTTTATACTCTGCTAATTTTCCAAAAATTTTTTTTTCTCAATTTGTAAACATTGCACGTGTCTGAACTTGAGATTGAAAAAAGGTGTTTTATTTTTTGCTTTAAAAGAAAATAAAAATGACTTCGGGAATCATTAAGACATTACACAAAAACACCTCATGCGTAACAGCAAAATAATAAAATAAAAAATAGCATATTTTAATAAATTTGCTTTGTATTGGGTGTCAAGGGAAAGAAGTATGGGACGGATATTGTGGAATAAATACAAAACAAGTAGAATAATAAGTTTACTCTAAAGATGTAGTACCTTGCCTTTTGTGTGGCCGTCAGTCATGTCGTCAATGTGTTGTAGCAAAAGCAAATGTTTCTTTCTTGCAAATTCTGTTTAAATTTTAAACAAAAATTTTACGGTCTGATTTTGGGGTCTCTGCTAAATAATACAGACATAAAAATGAGTAAACTTCAACCATAAATGCATAAAATTTCCATTTCATTTTGAAACTTAACTAAAAACATTGATCTGAAAATTTAAAAATAATGTACAGGAAAGCAATACTTAAAAATAGACTTCATAATAGCATTTGTATATAGTATTTTGTGGTAAAAATATTTAAAATATGTAGAATATTTTGTTGCTAATAAGTCATATTTTATTTAGTTTTGGAAATAGTTTATTCAAAAATTTTTTTATAAAAATTTTAGATTTATGTAAAATAAACATAAAATATAAAAGATTTCCGGTTTAAGTTTCGTTTTATGTCTCGACTATAAGAGTCTATATTGTTGATTATAATTTTCACTGTAGTATATTCTATAGTCTAGTCAGTAGCCTAGTATAGTCTATAGTTTAGCCCATAGTCTAGCCGATAGTCTAGTTTACAATCTAGTCTGCAGTCTAAACCGCAGTTTATTCTATAGTCTAGTCTATAGTTTAGTCTTTAATCTAGTTAATAGTCTGTATTCTATTCAATAGTAAAGTCTAATCTATAGTTTACTCTATAGTCTAGCTTCTTGCGTAGCCTATACTTTAGTCTGATCTGATCTCTAGTTTAGTCTGTAGTCTAGTGTCTGTAGTGTAGTATATAGTCTAGTCTATAGTCTAGTTAGGAATTTTGATATAAACTAATAATGGATTGAAAAACACTGAATCTTTTCTGTAGAATTTTATGTAAAGTGTGCTTATTTAGATCAATATGTAAAGCAATTTGTTTAAATAATTTAGATGATGAAATTTTCTCTTGAACTAGCAAAAGGGGGAAGAATAATATCAAACTACCCGATATTTCTACTTTTAATAATCTTGAATTATTTCGTCATATTATTTTAAATACTTCAACAATTTATTCTTAATATTGGTCACCAAAATATCTTAACTTCTATTATCAAACAAAAGATAATAAAAATAAACGTTGTTAGAATCTAAAAAACAACAATAATAATGGTAAGGGGGGTGGTCTATAAGGGTGGTGTTATAAGACCAGTAATACAAAAATTTGTTTAACAGATGATTAAATACGTATAGAAATAAACGTTGTTAAGAAACACGAAGCAACAGGGTGTTAGGTTTTTTCTTTCTTATTTTCTACAATGATGTAAACAACTACGATTTGTTATTGTTTTGGCACACCCGTCCTCATCTGTTGGCATTTTTTGCATGGTCCAAAAAAGAAAAAAATCGACAATTTGCACGCATACTATGAAATATTAATATTTGCTCCTACTTTTTACCACTAATGTAAAAAATTCTAGCAAAAAGATAAAATGACAACACAAAGAAAGAAAGATACACCTACATTAAGGCAAATACATACATTCATACATATGTACTTATGAATGTTCTTTATGAAGTACATACAAAAACAAATATGAAAAAAGGAGTAGGGTTAGGACGACCATATGGTACCCAACACTAGTCTACAGCCTAGTCCGTAGTCTACAGTGTAGTCCACAGTTTAGTCAATATTCTGTATCTTAAACTATAGTTTGATTGAAGTCTAGTCTATAGTCTTGACAATAGTTTAGTGTAGTAATAGCCTTGTTTATTGCCTACAGTATTGATTGATTTTAGCTTTGTCTATAGCCAAGTCAATAGTTTTGATTAAGGTCTTGTCAATTGTATTGAGTATAGTCTGATTTATAGTCTACTGAATGTTACAAACATTAGTCCATACTCATATTACCCTCCAATTTATATTGTAGGCATAGGGTATAGAAACAGCTGAACAACAAAATGTAGATATTGTACAAAAATTTTCACTTAAAAAACTGCAATTAAATATCTAAAACAAATAGGTATAATTAATTTCTTAAAACAAAACCAATACATTACCTGGTCCATAGAAACGTCTGCCTTTGGTAACATCAAAAACTTTGCCATTAACAGCCACTAAAATTCTACCATCTGGTTGTGTGCCATCGTATTGACGTAGTTCGGCTACTGTAAAGTCTCTACGCAATTTAGGCAGCTCTGGTTCTTGTGGCTTTTGTGAACCCACACTGGGCACTTCAATTCTATCCTTAATGATTTTATAAACCAAAAATGCAATTATAGCCACCAGGGCGAGATTCATGGGACTATAGAAAATCTCCTGAATGATGGCCATAAACATGGAGGTTGGTGCTGACTCCTCCGCAGAGCCGGCATTTGTGTCCACAGTATCAGCAGTCATGCTTTTCGCTTTAAAGGCCTTTTAAATAATGCTGACTATACAAAAAAATTTAAGTAAAAAATTATTCTTCGGGTTTATTTTTTAACAATTTTTCTTGTCAAACTTGTACTCTGTACTTTCTCTGTTTTACTTATTCCACAAAAACACCACAGACGACACACACATGCGAAGAGCACTTGGTTTTATTTTTTTCTTTACAGGTAATTCTTCCAAACCTTTTCCGTTTTTAATAAAAAAACAAAACGAAAACAACAAAAAATGTATAATAAAAAATGCAATTAATTTTTGTGGCCTTTCGAACTTTGATCTTTGTTGTTTTTGTTTTATTAGATTTTATTTTTGTAGTATTTGTGTTAATATAATTATCTTCCTAATTTACACTTTCTCGCTATCACCTCCTCCTTGTTTCTTGCTGTTTTTTTTTCTTGTCGGCTCCGTCTGTAGTAAAATTTCCTAAAATTCTTTTACAGTGCCGGTCGTTTAGTATATTTTTCTTAGTTTAATTTTTTCTTTTAACGCTTTAGTTTATTTAATTTTATTTTACAATTTTATTTGCGTTTTTGTAATTTTTTTCACGCGTTCACACGCGCTTATAAAACAAAAGTCGTAGCAAGTTGGAAAAATACAATTTGAAAATGAACAAGTTGACTTTTTCGCTGATGTTGATTTCAATGCAATCTTTTTATTTCTGTCGTCTTTGAGATGATAGTCCGGCGATTATTGTCAGTGTTATCAAAATGACATATGGGTTTTTGTTATATGCGGGTGTTAGTGCTGTTGCTTTTCTCATTTATTGTATTAAAATTATTTATAATTGTTATTTATATGAAATTAATTATTATTATATTCTTAAATCATAAAAATTTCTTGTTTATTTTTATGTCGATACTTTTAGTTATCGATTGTGTAATTCAACAGTGTTGCTATTTTTATTTAACGTTGAAACTTGGCATTACTTTTTCACAGTCAGGGTTCGGAAACAGGTTTTAGTGGCGTTTTTTTTGATAATAAAAGCTTTTATAACGTGTTGTATTTTTTCTACATTAGGACAATATTTATCAACATTCTTTGTTTAAACCTGGGTTAAACTAAAACTTGTATTTTTTTTAGCTATTTATTATTTATTTTGTTAATAATCTAATTAAACTAATTAATGGCCCATGTTTGCATTAAAAAATTACTGAGAGCTTGATTTTTAAGTAATTTTCAGAAGGAGACGCATGTTTGCATTACATTACTGGGTGCTTAATCAAAATTTATCACGATTACAACAGGAACTCATCATGATTTCAAATTCAGTTGATTTTCAACTAATCTTTTATATTCTGAGTATAAACATGAAAAACTTTTTCTCTGATCTCTTGGGAGACCGATCGGTTCGATTATATGAACAAAATGAGTATGAATGAAAAGGTCATTAAAATCGAAATGTATTTTAAAGGACTTGTATATTTTTGAAAATATTGATTTTTAAAATGTATTTCGGAAACCTTTCCTTCGATGCGCATAGATGAAAGAAATCGTTATATCGATATAATTTTGAGATATCGATATTTTTGTAAAACATTTATATAGAAAAAAACATATGTATGTATGTAAAAATTGTTCTTATATTTTAATAATGAATATATCAATCGAAAGGATACCTCTTATATATATTAATTTATATTGATAATATTGAATAGGTAATTAGTATTATAAAATATCAAAATTTTCCATCGTTGTATGTACTTATTATAAGACAATTTGTGATAGGGTAAATGTACCAATAGTCGGCAGTTTAACTTTTTTCTCTTTTTCAAACTATCCCCCTAAAGAGTCGGAAAATGTTATTACGATGATTTTTAGTTATTTCAATTATGTGTTTAGTTAAGTTTTAGATCCATTTAACTTTTTTGAAAAACAAATAACTAGTTTTTAGTAATTTGTAAATTTTGTTAAAAACTCCACATTTTCCAATAGTCGGCACCAGTGTTCCTAAGTTCGACAAAAAATGTCCCTATAGTCGGCAGTAGATTTTTTGTTTGAAAAAGCATATTTATTTATAGAAAAAAGTGATATATACACAATTTTCCAAAGAAAATATTTAATTAAATTTTTTCTATAGAAATAACTGTAATAATATCGTTTTTTCTGTAGAAAAATATGTTATAAACATAATTATAATTGTAATAAGTATACATAATAACATTTTTTTCTATAGAAAAAGAGTTATGCATGCAATTTTCTATACAATATTATATTTTTTGTTAGAGAAAAAAGTAATTTTTTATAGGGAAAAGTGTTATATGTACTGTTTTTTAAAGAAAATCTTTTATAAAAATATGCAATTTTCCATAGGAAAAAAATTAAACATAAGTTTCGTAGAGGATATTATAATAAGAACACTTTTCTATAGAAAAATTGTCATACTAGGAATTTTCTATAGAAAAAAATTGTTACACTCATAATTTTTTTGTAAAAAAAACAGTTAAGAAGCAATTTTTGTTAGAAAAAATGTCTATATGCAAAATTTTTAATAGAAAAAACTGTTATACACATATTTTTTGTATAGAAAATTATATTCTGTAGTAGAAAATTGTAATCTTCTATAGAAAAAGCTATTATAGAAGTAATTTTCTATAGAAAAATGGGTATACACACAATTTTTCATAGAGAAAACTGATATACACATAATTTTTTTGTATCAAAGATTGTTATACATAAAATTTTCTATAGAAAAAAATTGTATACACATAATTCTCTATAGAAACAAATGTTGTACAATCAAGGAAATTGTAATATACATAAATTTTTATAGAGAAAAGAGTTATACATAAATTTTTTTACAAAAATAACTGTTATACGTATAATTTTTGAAGAGAAAATTGTTATATAGAAATTTTTCATAGTAATATACCCAATTTTTCTATAGAGAAATAATAAATTTTAGAATGCCGACTATAGAATACGTATAATCGAAATTAATACCCAGTAGTCGGCACCCCTATGCCGACAATAAGAATTCATAAAAAATTGTGTTCCTAATGGCGGCAGCGATTAAAATTACAAAAAAATATATTTTTAACTAACTTTTTCACTTTAAATTGAATATTTCAACTGTTTTCTTTCATTTAAATCAATTTTTGTCAAATAAATCATTTAATTTCATATAAATATTCACTTGTTTAAGGTGGCACTAAAACTAAATTTTTTTTAAGAAAACTGACAGTACTACAAATGCTGCAAAGCTGTCACTAAATAACGTCAAATATAGAGGAAATTAGTAATCCTACTTAAATTTACTCATTTCATAAAGCAAAAAGACCATATTTTCTATGAAATATAGATCAAACCTTAATAAATTTGTACAGCTTTTCTTATTTATTTACATTTTTATGTAAAAGATGCCGACTACTGGGTGATGCCGACATTAGGTGCATTTACCCTATAAAAAATTGTCTTAAAATCAACATTTTACTGTTGATTTAATTTAATAAAATTTTTATTAAAATTTTAGACTGTTTTAAATATGCATGATTAAATTATTCTGTTAAAGTTCTGTAATTTAATTATTATTAAATTTCATAAATAACAACAAAAGGCTACACTTAAAAGTCTCCCACACAAAAAGCAATTATCATACGAAAAGTTTGATTGAAATAAAAGCTTTTGTAGAGATTTCCTTTTAAGAAAAACAAAAACTGAACTAAATATTGAATCTCCACGAGATTTGCAAATAAACTTAAAAAGCTATTACTTGTGGGCAACAAGATCAGCAAATACAAATTAGTAGTTTTGACATTTTTATTTTGTTTAGAAGTTTTCAAAGCTTGGACACACATGAGTAAAAAGAAACTGTCAAAACGAAATATCAAATAGATAAAAATACTGAGATCAGAAACAACAAACTGTTTTTGTTTTTAAACTCGTATTTTATGATCGAATACAAAAATTATAAACAATTTTTTAAAATTATTACTGATTTTATTTTTATTTGGGAAATTATTATTTCATTCTAAGCGCGGGCGTAAACAAGTGAAAAAGAATACAAAAAAATAATAATAAAAAAGAATAAGAAAAACCGTTAGTTTTTCTAATAAGTTGTAGTGTCACATTGAAATTTATAAATATCATCGAGTGAGACGCAAAGAAAAGCTCAGTTTTATTTTAAATACTTACTTGATTATGACCCCGGATGATGGTTGATAGAAAGAGTGGTTTGCAAGTGCAGCAGATTTAAGAGGAGAAGACGAGATTGTACACGTATGTATGTAAATGCCTTCAATCCCAAATCAATAATTGCTTAATTTACAATTCAAAATTGTCTTGTAAAGCAAATAGTAAATACAATTGCAAATACAATAATATCTTCTCCTCTTCACTGTCGATCCACCAACCAAAACACATTGTCAGATTTCACTTGTGCAACAAATTCAGCAAATGACCAGCTGCCAATTGATTTTATGCGAATGTAAATCTTAATGCGAATGACCACCACCAACCAAACGTCATCATCATCACCATCACTTTTTCGCAAAATTATAAAAAAAAATCAGTTGAGAATTACCAAAAAAAGCAACATCATGTACTTTTAAAATTAAAATTTTGTACAAAATAAAAAAAGAAACCAAACAAAAAAAGCAAAAGTGAAATGAAAATCATATTTATTTTACAAATCAAAAAACCATTTTCCTATAATAACAACCAAAAACAACAACTACAATACAAATCGCACTCTCTACTCCTTCAACCAGCAAAAACAATTTGAAATCTTCTTATTTAAAAAAAAAAATATTATCGTGCTGCATCAGATCAACTGTATGAATTTTGTTGAAATAGTTTGTGGTACTACAAAACACCACCATTACCACGATCAACAACATCCACCATGGCTTCCTACAATGATCTACAATTTGATTGGAATATTTTATTTCAACAACAAGACTATGATCAATGGTCGAAAACAGGTTAGAATTGTAATAATTAATTACATTATTATTATAAATAATAAAAAAAACTCTTTGTTTCTATGCAAATTTTATTTATTTTAATGTTTTCTAGTTGTTAAATAATACACATTTTTTTTGCCATACACCCTTCACAATGCGTTTCCATATTATTGTTTTTGTTATACTGTATGTGACAATAATAAATACTAGATCAATGATGGAAGACTTTTTCTTCATGTTCCCTATCATTGCCACAGAGACTGTATACATTAAAAGGAGAACTCAAGTCGACCTATTGACCTAGTATTCTGAAGATACTACTTTAAAGAGACCCCTTCGCCATTGTAGTTTCTATGCACAGGGACAGACGATTCAGCCTTAAAAGATCGTTCTTACATAGTCTGACTAATTGGAATTGTTTAGGAAGAAGAAGCGCCGTCTGACTATGGACGTAAATTACAATAATTCCACGAATATTGAGGTCATAAAAGTAGTCAATATATGAAATATTTCAAATTTATTGCAGAACCATGCCAGGATCTTGAGTAACTAGAGACAGTTGAGCACACCATTTATCACTGTCCACAATACAAGGTCTCAGGCTGAAATGGCTATGAAATAAGTTCCACGTAGAACTGAGGTATATAGTCTGTATACTAGGTTTTATCATGCCATATCTTTTATTGGAGATTATAGTGAGAATTTGCATAACCAATTTAAATATTCTTCTTTCGTAATCTGAATCAATTTATTTCCAGGAATCATTTTGTATCCCTAGTTCCTCAGTCTATTTACAGTCCTTAATTTATTTTCTGTTCTCTAGTTACTGTTTTCCTAGTTACTCTATATTGTTGACGCTTAATTTTTTACCCGTGGTATCCAAATGGAGTAGCACTTCTTTGGTTCATAACCATTCTTAATCTAATATATCCTAAATTCATTTATACTGTTAGACCCACACCACTGGTTTTCTGAACTTTATATAGTTGGTCTACAATAAAATTGTTTTTAGTTGCAGATCCATATGTAAGAATAGCACTATGTTAGGATTAAGTCCCCATTTTATGCCAAACATATTGCGAAAGGTAGATGCGGCAGGCCGATACTGTGCTGAGTTTTGTCCATGATAATTTAGTGTTTAGAGTCCAACATAATACATGAATATTTGGCTTTGTCCGATGTGGGAATGTATATATTGATCACCGTAGGGTGCCATTAATTCAGTATATAGCAGGTATAGAAAATCCTTTACTATTGTACTTTTTTTCCAGTACAGTAGGCTAGTATATAAAGACTAGTGTTTGTATGTACTAGTCTATGGCGGGTTATTGGCTGGTTTATGGACTAATCTATTAATCACTTTAAATGTGATAATACAGAATAACAATAGTACTGAATGATCTGTGCCTGTTATAGAGTATACATAATTCGGTTTAGATGAATTATTCATCATGAATATGACAAGTTAGATTTGCTTAAGTCTTTAAACATTTTATTATACCCTACACCACTTTAGTGGGGAGGGTATATTGGGTTTGTGCTGATGTTTGTAACGCACAATAATATTGGTCCTATACCCACCTTAAAGTATGCCAATCGGCTCAGAATCATTTTCTGAGTCGCTTTAGCTATGTCCGTCCGTCTGTCCGTCCGTCCATGTAAACCTTGTAATCAAACTACAGGTCGCAATTTTGAAGATAATTCTATGAAATTTGGTACATGATCTTCTATTGTCGCATCGACGAAGCCTATTGAAAATGGTTAAGATCGGTCCATTATTTCACCTAGCCCCCATACAACTGAACCCCCCAATAGGGCTTGTAATCCTTGTAATCAAATAATTCAATGAAACTTGGCACAAGATCTTTTATGGTATCGTAGACGAAGCCTATTGAAAATGGTTAACATCGGTCCATTATTTCACGTAGCCCCATACAACTGAACCCCCGAATAGGGCTTTTAAACCTTGTAATCAAACTACAGGTCGCAATTTTGGAGATAATTCAATGAAATTTGGCACATGATCTTTTATGGTACCGTAGACGAAGCCTGTTGAAAATGGTTTACATCGGTCCATTTTCACCTAGCCCCCATACAACTGAATCCGCCGAATAGGGCTTTTAAGTTCATAATTATGTTTAATATACTCATATCTCGACAAAAAGCTGCAAAAACCAAGTTGTATACAGGACTTGATGACCCTCACGAATTCCATAATAATAGGTTCTCATATGACCCTAGCCCCTATGAAAAGCCCCCATCAAAATTTCACTTAAATGTCCACAATTTTATTCAACAATAAACGGCTTAAGTATGTATATCTAAGGCAAGGTACAATTCAACTTAAATTCTTTATTATGGCAACTAAATCACATTATATTTTTGTCAAAGGTGTAGGGTATTATATGGTCGGCCTCGCCCGACTATAATTTCTTACTTGTATACTGTTGTATTTGTTATTTGTTCCATAATATGCCCCTACATACTGTTTAAAAATGTTGAGCACTGTAGTTTGTTAAAATTTCTTTTTTTTAGAATCAAACCGGAACTAATTCCACTAAAAGCTAAATTTCATATTATGGCGCTATATTAGGTACTTGCTTTTCGAAATATGTTTAAATCTCTGCATTATTAAATATATTTTCAGGATGTTGAGCAACTAAAGATAGTTGAGCCACTGTCCTAGAAATGGCTAGAAAATTGATTCCACAATTGCAGGGTGTAATATTTTCATTATACTAGGTTTTATCATGAGGATTAGTCATTTCTTCGATTGGAAATTATATTGAGGTTTCGGATCACCTATCGTAATATTCTTCTTTCGGAATCTGAATCAATTTATTTTCAGAAACCAGTTCCTCAGTCTAGTTTTAATACTTCCATTTTTATTTGTTCTGTAGTTACTGTTTTCCTAGTTACTCTCCATTCTTGACTCTTCACTTTCTCCTCCCCGGTCAACAAATAAATCTTAAACCAAAATAAACTTATAGGTATACCTCGCTTCAAAATGATCACTAATTAAAAGAAAATAGAAACTTTGTCTTATTGAATAAAATATTTTGGTACCACTGTACCTCATGCGAAATTTTTGTTGTCTTTACCTTATTTTCTCTGTTGTTTAGATTGATTTGGTCATTTTACTAAATACCGGTTCTAATTGCAAAAACAAAGTAGAAATTAAAAATTACATACATAAATAAACAATAATTTGTTTATAATTTTTAAAAATATATATATTTATATCTTGTAGGTGATAAATTTATCAAATATTTGTTAAACGTATTTTTTTTAGATTTGTTGCGGTTTAAAAATGATTTTTCGTTTTAAAACTTTAGAAGAATTTGTAAAAAGTTCCACGACATCTCTTGATTAACAATATTCTGTGAGTTTTTATTGTTTTCTTTTTGCAAAATATTATTTATACAGGTGAATCATTATTCCTGCGATTAATTTGTGGAATTAATTATCAACCAGAGACAGTCAAACAAACAAGCGACCATCCCATCATGACAAACGTTTTGCTTTTGACTACAACTTGGATTCGCATTAAAAATTGTTCGTTTGTCTGTTGGTCGGTCGTCTCACTGTCAGTAGTGATGTCATATTGTGTTTGAATAACAAGCCATCAAAATGTATTCAATACTTATTTTTATTTATTTAAATACTATGTATTTGTGACAAGTGTCAAAAAACCTTAAAAGAAATCTTTAGTTTTTTTTTTTTACATAAATGTTATAGAAATAAATGCAAAAATGTAGTTTTTATACCCTACACCACTTTAGTGGGGAGGGTATATTGGGTTTGTGCTGATGTTTGTAACGCACAATAATATTGGTCCTATACTCACCTTAAAGTATACCAATCGGCTTAGAATCATTTTCTGAGTCGATTTAGCTATGTCCGTCCGTCTGTCCGTCCGTCCATGTAAACCTTGTAATCAAACTACAGGTCGCAATTTTGAAGATAATTCAATGAAATTTGGTACATTTGAAAATGGTTAAGATCTGTCCATTATTTCACCTAGCCCCCATACAACTGAATCCCGTAATAGGGCTTGTAAACCTTGTAATCAAACTACAGGTCGCAATTTTGAAGATAATTCAATGAAATTTGGCACAAGATCTTCTATTGTCCCAGGGACGAAGCCTATTGAAAATGGTTAAGATCGGTCCATTATTTCACCTAGCCCCTATACAACTGAATCCCGGAATAGGGCTTGTAAACCTTGTAATCAAACTACAGGTCGCAATTTTGATGATAATTCAATGAAATTTGGCACATGATCTTCTATGGTACCGGAGCCGGAATAGGGTTTGTAAACCTTGTAATCAAACTACAGGTCGCAATTTTGATGATAATTCAATGAAATTTGGCACATGATCTTCTATGGTACCGGAGCAGAGCCTATTGAAAATGGTTAACATCGGTCCATTATTTCACCTAGCCCCCAACCCGACGTTCACAATTTTATTCAACAATAAATGGCTTAAGTACACCTGAGGCAATGTACAATTCAACTACAATGCTTTATTATGAAAACAAAATCACATTTTATTTTTGTAACAGGTGTAGGGTATTATATGGTCGGCCTCGCCCGACTATAATTTCTTACTTGTTTTTAATTAGCAAAGTGAGAAGTAGCAACAAGAAGGTTTTAGATATTTTTAAAATCAAACAAGTTCACTTGATACTGCAGTGCACTGTTTCCTGATACGGCAGTGCAGTTTCTTCTAAGTTTTGTAAACATAATCAAAATTTTTTAATTTCTTTTTTTATAAGAATTTTTATAGGCTTGTCCCTGCTTTGGTAATTAAATTCCCAAATTCTTTTTCCATAAATCAATATTTATTATTAAATCTACTCCTCTTCAGCCCCCTAAAACAATGACATTGATAGTTTTTTTTTTTATTATTTAATTATAAACATATGTATGTATGTTTAGTTGTTCATAAATTGTATAAATTTCCAAACATAAAAACAATAAAAAAATATGATTTTAAAGACATTGTCAGTCTCGA